TCTGGCCGCAGCCACGATGTAGACGGGGGGGACGGTAGACATTGTAATGTGTATGTTGTGTGTTGGAGGGACTGTGAGACAAAAGATATCGAGAGAATGCAGAGGTTCAAAAAGGAGGCAAAAGACGTGAAGGGGAAAGAAGTCGAGATAATGAATAGGAGGCAGTCGCAAGGAAGGAGCAGCTCGCCGGACCGGCGTACTTAATTACTTATCAAAGGAAGGCGGACCCGGCGCTGCACTGAGTGCGAGCCGTAAGGTGTGCCCCACCAGAAAAAATATTGTTGAGGGTCCAACCTTCCCTGTTGTCGTTTCCTGTCGTTGCTGCCCCTCGTCGTTTCCAGCGGTGGATCTTGCTCAATCGGTTGCTCTTTCCCCAATGGCCAGGCTCGCTGTCACACCGCCCTCGCGCTTGCCCCATTCCCTCTTATTTCCCCTTTCAGGGCAGCCGCGCCCTTGCCGTTCCGGGGAAGGTGCGTAGGACTTGCGGCCCACCGGTGCTCGTCAGTGGTGCAGCGATGCCACATGTCGCCAGCCTCACGCTGAATGCAACAGGACATCGGTGTTGTGGAAGGTGCGTTTCCGGTCAAGCTTCTTACCACACCTAATTTCGCTGCCTTGCGCCCTTGCGCCTTCCTGACGGAGACGACTCGCCCGGAGGTCAGACTCGGTCGTAGTTTCTAATCATCGCGACGCCAGCTGCGCGCTGTGTATTGCTGCTGCCTTGTTGGTAATTTGCGCAATCGTACGACGGCCCCCTTTTTTCTGGTTTTGTTTTGTTTTTGTTTTTCTTTGGTTCGATTTCCTCCGACAACGGCCGACGACGGCTCGACACAACACAGACGCAACACACGACGATCGATACGGCATTTGGGCACGGGCACAGGGGCGCACGGCCATCCGGGCCCTTGCTTGCTGCAGTGGTTGGTACCTTGGCGAATCAGACGAAGAAAAGGGCCGAGTCCAATGGACATGGAATACAGGAATTAAAAAGACAAATAAAAAAGGCAGAGGACACGGACGTGATGATGGACGAGCAGACGGCAGCCCAGCTGCGGCAGGCCTTTGAGACGGATGACGAGGTCTGCATCGGCTTCGGGCCGGACAAGCTGATTGGCTACGACGATGCCATGCAGAGCGAGGCCGACATCCCACACGAGCGGCAGCAGTTTATGGAGTCGATGGCGTTCTGGTTTCGTGTGTCACGGCACCGGCCGGCTCTAGAGCGGCTGGTGGCGCGGCACCTGGGCGTCAATGCGGCCCGTGTCAAGATGAGCCACTTGAACATGTGGCGCCAGGGCGCATTCAATGTGGCCATCCCCATGCTGGTGTTTGACACAAAAGCCGCGGCCGATGCCGCCCACACGCCGTCGCCACAAGGCGACATGCCGCCCGAGGTGCCGGACAACCTGCGCCGCGTGATGCTGCGCTTGCCAATGCCGCCACGGTGCGCCGAGGCCGTCTACCCGGGCTCAATCCTCGAGAAGATGCGCTGCGAAACGGCGACGTACGTGTGGATGCAAAAGAACTGCCCTCAAATTCGGATCCCACATCTCTTTGGCCTCGGCTTTCCCCACGGGACACATGTAAGTGCAACGATGCGGCGGTGGAGTTCTATGTTGGTGGCAGCACGTGTGCTGACAGGGGACAAATAAAGTATACACATAGCAGCCGACTATGGTTTGCCCGCCGCGCGCTGCTGTGCATTCGACAGTGGTTTGCATCCTGGATGCGGTGGCCTCTGCTGTCAAACTATGTCGCGATCTCGGTGCCAAAGGATGAGTGTCCTGTTGACTCTGGTTACATGATCTTGGAGCACTTTGGTGCCTCTTTTGGACAGGAGCTGTCGTTGATGGCGCGAGACACCAAGATTGTGGAGGACGGCGTCGAGTACTTGCCAGAACCCATCCAGATGCTGGCGCAGCCGGCAAAGATGCGCAATCTGTTCCGGGGCGTGTCTCGCATCATTTTGGCCTTGGCACGAGTTCCGCAGCCGCGCATTGGCGCGTTCCGGTTCAACGACAACGGCACGATATCGCTTGATAATAGGCCTGTGACAGCGGATATGTTTGTCCTCGAAAACGCACGTGCACCGCGCACCATGAGCGTGGACACGACATATACGAACGTCAACGAGTACGTGAGCGACTTGCAGACGTTTCAGGAACAGAAATTCCTGGCAGCGCCCAATGCAGCTGTCGAGGCAGCAGATGCCACATACCAGATGGGCATAATGGCCTTTTTGCGAGCGGTCACACACCATTTTGTCGGGGGGACCCGTCGCTGGCGAAACGGGCCGTTTGTACTGTACATGTCCGACGCCAACGCGTCCAACTTTATGGTGGACGAGAACTGGAACGTGACGGGCATGTACGACCTTGAGTGGATGTTCTCGGCGCCCGCCGACATGCCGCGAGTGCCGTCCTGGCTTACATGGTCCTCGGTGGACCGCATTTCGAATCCTGCGACCGACGAATACGCAGCATACAACGAGGCACGAGCAGCCTTTGCCGAGGTGTTTGCAGAGGAAGAACGGCTGGCCGACACGGCAGCTTTGGAGACGGCGCTCGGTGGCACGACTCTGAGTGCGGTGATGGAGGAGAGCTGGGCGTCCAAGACGTTTTGGTTTTATTCCTCGCTCCTGTCCATCACAGGCATGACGCATGTTGCGTCGCACCAAATCCTGCCCATGTTCGTCCGCACATGGGAGGAGAAGCGAGATGCGTCGGCATCGTTTGCAGACCTGGCTAAGCTCTGGAGCACGGCGGCAGCCGACGTCATCGTGAAAAAAGTGGATGATCACACGAGGCACCTGGTCCATGTGGCTGCTCTCTTTGGACGAGCTCCGCCGACATACACGGCCAGCCACGACATCGAGACGGGCGCAGTCAACGGCGGGGAGGTACCGTACATGGAGGAGAAATTGTCGCGTGACAACACAGGGAACAGCAAAGAAATCAGTCTACAGAGCTGATTGTTAATTGTTTGGGGGAATGCGCAGAGCGTACAAAACGGACTACCATTTTTGGGTGCATTTACTTGGATATGAATACACGAACAACGATATAGAAGTGACGATATACGAAGGACATAATGGGAGACGACAGCTGGACACAAAGGCTGTCGAGTACGCCGTACATTCGGTATAAATGCAAGGCTGCATGTGTGCATTGTGCAGTGAAGCCCTCGGAGAACTTGTTTAGGGCAAACGTGCACAGCCTTGTGCAAAAGGGGCAGGTGCTACGAAATAGTGAGAGAAGCGGATGGCTCTTCAGACGAACCTTGAGGCTGGCTACTCCCTCTGTATCGTTTTAGTTCATGACTGTGGAGAAATACGAGAATATCTTATCGTATGGTGAGGGGAAACGCCGGCGCCAGCCGCTGGTAAGCTTTTTTCGGTTCTTCGCCGCCAGAAAGACTCCGGATCGTTGGTTTGATGTTTTGATGTTACAGACTTGCATCCCCTTCTTCGCCAACCTCTTGGCTCAAATTTGACAGCATCCTCTTGAAAGTCTTTGTCAGCGCCTAACGTTAGTATGGCACCGCTCGCAAAAGCTGTTACGGTGTCCCTCGAGGACCTGAAAAAGGGTGAGATTGAGGAGACGTTTTATGCGACCAAAACAAAGACTCGTGTCTCCCTCTAACACAACTAGGAACCGTCCCACTCGACAAGCTGCAGGAGGCGTTCGGCCCCGACTCGCTCGGCATTCTTGTCGTCCGGGACGTGCCCGCTGCCTTCGCCGCATTGCGCCAGCGCCTGCTCTCCTACGCGTCGTACCTGGGCAACCTGCCGGCCGATGAGCTCACGCGACTCGAAAACGAGACGGCCAAGTACCTGACGGGCTGGTCGTGCGGCAAGGAGACGCTCAAGAACGGCAAGGTCGACACGCTCAAGGGCTCGTACTACGCCAACTGCGCATTCTACGTCGATGCGGCACTCGACTGTGCTGCGCCCACGGCCGAGTTCTCGCCTGCCACGTTCCCCGAATACCTGTCCCCCAACGTCTGGCCCGCCGAGTCGGTGCTGCCCGGCTTCCGCGCCGCCCTCGAGGATCTGTGCCGGCTGATCATCGACGTGGCCGTACTCGTGGCGCGCGCCTGCGATCGGTTTGCTGCCCAGGCAATCCCAGACTACCCGCCGGGCTATCTCGAGGCGGTCGTCAGCACGTCAACGACGACCAAGGCGCGGCTGCTGCACTACTACCCGCAGACCGCAGCCGACAACATCAATGACAACAACGACAAAGACAGCGTCAACGACGACGACTGGTGTGCGACGCATCTGGATCATGGCTGTTTGACGGGCTTGACGTCGGCCATGTTTGTCGACGAGGCCGCCGTGGACACACGTGTGCCCGACGGGGCGTCCTCCGCCCTAGAACCCCTCGCGGAGCTCGACGCGTCGCCCGACCCGGCCGCCGGCCTCTACATTACGTCGCGCACGGGGGACATCGTCCAGGTCAAGATCCCGCGCGACTGCATTGCCTTCCAGACGGGCGAGGCGCTGGAACGCATCACGGCGGGCAAGTTCAAGGCGGTGCCGCATTTTGTCCGCGGCACACGTCCCGTTTCCGGGTCCACCAGCCGCATTGCGCGCAACACGCTGGCCGTGTTCACGCAGCCGAACCTGGGCGACGACGTGGACCGCGAGCAGCACATTACATTTGGAGAGTTTGCCCGGGGGATCGTAGCCAAGAACACGGTTGGGTAGGGGTGTGGTCTTTCCTGTTTATATCCCGTTGTTGCTCCTTCCATAGCATGTATTTTATTTAACATTTTTGTCCATCTCGCAAATTTGGCAACAATGCGCCGTTTACAATGTAAAGAGGAAGGTGCAGTGCAGGCGCAAGTTCTCTCCTTGCAATTTGTAGTGTCCCAAGGAATGAGCCACCGACACATGGCTTGGCGGGGTTCGCCGTCAGCAATGGGGCCATTGCGACATTGGCAGGAGCATTGTAGAACACAGTCGCCGTTAACGTCATCGCTCTTACCTCCCCGGTTTGTCATACTCCCGTTCCTTCCGTGCATTTGTGTTTACGACGTGCCGGTGCCAAATCAGCCCCTTTTCTCTTTCTTGTCTTCTCTCTCATCTCTCTTTCACGTCTCTCTCCAGATTCTTCACTCTCAATTTTGACTCCAGCGTCGACGTCACTTACACAACATTGCTCCACCCCACCACCCCTCACACAATCACATTGACCACAATGGCTCTCGCTCCCAAGTTTGCGGCCCACCGCCTGGTCTTTACTGACCTCTCCGCCGCCGCCGCCTCTGTCGCGCCCGTCCACACCGTCGAAATCTTCCTCGACTACGTCTGCCCTTTTTCGGCCAAGCTCTTCAACACCTTTTACACGGGTGTCGTGCCCGTCCTGCGCTCGCGGTCGAGCGGTGTCGGCAGCCGCGTGCAGGTCATCTTCCGCCAGCAGGTGCAGCCGTGGCACCCGAGCAGCACGCTGACGCACGAGGCCGGCCTGGCCGTGCAGCGCGCCGCGGTGGCCGCGGGCAAGCCGCAGCTGTTCTGGGACTTTAGCGCGGCACTGTTCAAGGACCAGAAGGCGTACATGGACGTGGCCGTGGTCGCCGAGGGCCGCAACGACACGTACAAGCGGCTGGCCGCGCTGGCGGCGGCGTCGTCGGGCGGCGCTCTCGACGCGGGCACCATCTACAAGGACCTGGCCGTCGCCACAGAGCCGGCGGCGGACGGCTCGGTCAACACGGGCAACGCCGTCACCAACGACCTCAAGCTGGTGATCAGGGCCGGCCGTCTCGTGGGCGTGCACGTCAGCCCGACGGTGCTCTTTGACGGGCTGGTCAACAACGACATTTCGTCGTCGTGGACTGCCGAGCAGTGGCTGGAGTATCTGGAGAAGAATGCGGTCTAGGAAAATGGCCTGCAGAAGACCGCTGACAGTATAGTCACCGCGCAGCGAAACGGAACCAAGCAGGTCCAAAATATAACATGGAACAGTTTACAAACTTGACAGTTTAACAGTTTAACAGATTGACAGATTAAACGTCTATTCCGCCAAATACCATGATGCGTACAGATTCGCTGGAAAACGAGGATCCGTCTTCGACGCTACGTGAACCGTCCGCTGTACATTGCCTCACCTACACCGTCAGCTTGCTCTCCGGAACACCTGCAGACCGCGCGCAGTCGGTCGCGGCAATCCACGCAAACGTCAGGCCGGGGCCCAGTGTCGCCCCGGCGCCAGCGTACGTGCGGCCCATGACGCTGGCGGACGAGTTGCCGGCCGCGTACAGACCGGGGATCACGGCATACTGGCCGTCTTTTATCTCCTTGAGGGCACGGCCCAACTCATCCGTCAGCACACCGCCCTTGGTGCCCAGGTCGCCGGGCCAGATACGCACAGCGTAAAAGGGACCCTTTTCGATCTTGCCCAGGTTGCGGTTCTTGTTGCCGTAGGCCGGGTCGCCCAGGTAGAAGTCGTAGACGCTGGTGCCGCGCGCAAAGTCGTCGTCGACGCCCTTGTCGACAAAGCCGTTGAAGCGTGTCTGGGTGGCCTGCAGGCCGTCGGCGTCAATGCCCAGCTTGGCCGCCAGGTCGGGCAGGGTGTCGGCCTTGGTGACAAAGCCCGAGTCCAGGTCCTTTTGCGGGATGGCGCTGCCGGGCATGAAGCGGCCGGCGAGCAGGTAGCGGTTGCGGTGGTTGGTGTCCATGATCAGGTACGCCGGGATGGCTGTAGGACCCTCCTTGTGGCGCTTCCAGATGGCCGTGCCGAGAGCATTGTAGTTTTGCGACTCGTTGAGGAAACGCTTGCCCTGCTTGTCGACAATCATGGAGTGCGGCAGGCCGCGGTCGTACAGACACCAGATGCCCAGCTTGGACACGGGTTCGTACATGGCGGCGCCCCACCAGGCCGAGTCCATGAGCGCCGTGGCGGCACCAATCTTTTGGGCGGCCGTGATGGCGTCACCTTGGTCGGTCTGGCAGGCGGACGTCCAGTCGGCCGTGATGGGCGGCGCTTGGTAGGTCTTGCGCATCTCGGCGTTGCGGGCAAAGCCGCCGGCGGCCAGGATTACGCCTTGGGATGCCTCGACCGTCACAGTGCGGCCGTCGTGCTCGACCTTGGCACCCGTCACGCGGCCACTCGCCTTGTCGACCACCAGCTCGGTCATGGGGCTGGACGTCCAGATGGGCGTGCCCTGCTTGACGTTCATGTAGAGGAGGCGGCTGATCATGCTGACGCCCAGGCACACGGGCTCGGCGCCGAGAAACTGGTTCGGGTACAGGCGCAGGCCCCAGATCTTGACGGCGGTCAAGAAGCCGTCCCAAGAGCAGCGGGCGCGCACAATCTTGGACAGCTCGTTGGTGTAGAGCGGCAGCGGGGGGCGGACGGGGTTGATGTTGAGCTTGTCGCGCCAGGGGCCGAGCAGGGCAGCATCGTACATGAGGGCCTCGATGCTGCGGCCACCGACTTGCGACCCGGGCTTGTCCTGGAAGTAGTCGGGGTAGAGGGGGGTGCGGCGCCACTGGTAGCCAGCGTTCTCGAGCCACTTGACCATGGCCGGTCCTTGGTGTAGGAAGGCCTCGCGGCGGGGGCCGGAAGAGGCCGGACCGGCGTCGCCGATGATGGCACCCATGTAGGTCAAGGCCTTTTCGATGGAGTCGCCTGCGTCGTTGTGTACGTGGGTGTTGGGAATCCAGAGGCCGGAGCCGGAGAAGCAGGAGGTGCCGCCGACCTTGGCATTCTTCTCGACGACGAGGGTGTCGAGGCCGAGGGACTTGGCGCGCAGGGCGGCCGTGAGGGCCGGGCCTCCGGTGCCAACGATCAGCACATCTGTCTTGACAACGCCGTCAGGGCCGATGACGGCATGCGCGGCATTCGTCGCGGGATCCTCCTTGAGGCGGGCGCCGGCGCGCTTGACACGTGACACGACGCTGGCACCGACAGCAAGACCGACGATGCCCACGGCGACGCGGCCGGCTGTCCTGCGGAGCGCAGAGGGGGCCATGAGGTGGGTTGGCTGGGGGTGAGGAAGGGATGGACGTGTCTGCCTGTCGTCTCACTCTCGGTCATTTGTCCTTCACGTTGACAAGGAAGCTCAGAAGACACGATGTTGGAGACATGCGAGTACGGAGTACGAAAGAAACAAAAGACTCCCTCCCCTCCCACCGTCTTTTCTCACCAGAGAGGGGGATACCGCCTTTAAGGAAGCTGCCGGTACGGTGCGGGATTGTGAATGCAAGAGCGGCCATCGTCTTCCGCGTGCGCCATGCTCCGCGAGCTTCTTGGACGCCTACATTCCGACATTCCGACATTCCGACAGAGGCGGAGGTATCCCCGCCATTTAGCACAGGCGTGTTCTGGGGTAACGCAACGTCACGGCCCGAGGTTTTGGATATCTGTTTCTGTTTCTTCTGTGTGGGTACAGCTGTACATTCGGAGCGCTGTTGTTTGTGGGGTTGCCGCCATCGTCGGCTATCAATATCCAGGGCCCCAAAGCACGCCGGGCTTTTCATAGCTTCTCGATGCGGAGCGCATTCAGCACCGGCGGCCGCTCAACACCACGCGAGGGCGCACCGTACCCCAACTGGGGCTCTTGGGATGCAAGCAACGACGAATGAATGGGGTCTCGACGTTACTTCAAATTGTGTGGGATAATACCCATGGCATTCTACAGGACGGCAGACGAGGCCTCTCAGGTGCACGACCGCCAATTTGGACCAACACGTGACCTGCTGGGCTGGGTCCAACAGAATGGCCTGCCTGAAAGTCACGTCGCTTTCATGTTTGACAAAACAGCACACTTTACATTCCTCAGACGCCCTACTCGTACAGGATGCCGTACGTCGTCTATAGCCTCGACAGTGCCATTGAACGCTTCTTTGCTCATGCCGGGGCAGCGTCGACCCGGGCCGAGTGCGACGACATTGCCCGTCGCAAGTTTGGCGATCCGGTAGAGCCAGTTTCTGTTCAAGGGTCGAACTGTTACACCGTGATTGCCGGGCCGAACAAAGACAGAATCGTCCAGTTCCGTGAACAGGCCGCACTCTTAGATGTTAGCTTTTGGCGTTGGTTAAAGACGTCCATCTTGAGCTCGTCCCACGTTGGTCAGAAGTCGGGCGGGTGGGCGAAGAAAACGGCTGTCAACTGGTTATATACGAGATGGAGAGAATTCCAGGCGATACTTGTATTACTGCCCGGTTTAATCTGGCGCCGGAAAACCAAGTAAACATTGTGGCTAGCTTGGCAAGGTAGGAAATTTACCTACCGACGACGCAGGCGGGGATCACCGGCCGTTACTTTTACGTCGTGTCCACCAACCCACAAACACACACCGTACTATCGTCCACTGGTGTTGTGTCCCGAACAGGCGTCGCCGGTGTTGTTGACGCCATTTATAGAATAAAGACACGACGAAAGACCCAATTTGGGCAGAATGGTGTAAGACGGTGATGTTGGATAGGATCGGCGACGGACCAGCTGTAGCCTGGCCTTTCCCCGGCTCTGCCCCGATGTATATCGGGATGTATAGTATGGTGTCATTCATTAGAGGATCAGACCAAGTCTTGTGATATCCGGTCGGATTTGTTTTCTGTCTTTCATCATTCTTATAATAACGGGAGCGGGCACAATCCATATCCGGAAGGACACGGAACGGGATCGCAGCTTGACCCGCAACCGGACGCACGGCACGGGCCGGCGTGCCAAGCGTGGCCGTCTTGCTCCTTCCTGTTTTGATCCCGGTCTCGGTGGCGTCTAGGGCTTTGGTCTTCTATGCATTCCTTGCCTTGCCGTGCACAGCTGCTATACATTCGTCCTGCGAGCTATTAGTACCATCAAATGGACGCGTATTTGTACCCCCAGAAATAACCAAAACAAAAGGTTTTAATATGATTCTACCAGCGATACAAAAATCAACGATTTAATGCCTCGGCGTTGTGTAGATGATCGATGTGTTATTAGACCCCAAACACTAGGGCGAAGGCGCAATGCTGCAGCTGAATTGTCAAGACCGGAATGCATTACACGTTCGCCCACGGCTCCAATCAACGTTTTACCACTCCACCTCCCAACTGCACTCCATCTCTTGTCGCATCTCCAAACCGCCAACATGCCTTGGGCCACCACAAAATATGAGCTAAGCCCGCCGCCTCTAGACGAGCTTGCGGCCGTGCTCCAGACAGGTCTCCAACAGCACTTTGAGTCGGTCTCGGTCCTCGTTACCCGCAGCCCCGACCTGCGCGAAGCGCCCTTTCACCTTGCGGCTGCTGGTATTTCGGGCCGCGAGCGCATTGGCGACGTCGGCGGACCGCAGAATCTGCGTCCGTTGCCGCGACTGGACCACAAGTACCACCTGCGCGAGATTATGGATCTCATGGAGATGCAGGACGGCCTCGTCATCGGTGCCGGCGCAGCGCCGTTTCACCATGTCGGCGGCAACACGGAGCTGATGCCCAACCTCAGCTACACCGACGGCGTGGCCAACAACCAGACGCGCTTTGCCCGGATTGTGCCGGCCACCGAAACCGACAGCGTGCGGGACATTGCTACCGGTACGCTGGCGCACCGATGCCGGCCACTGCCGGCACCGAAATCAACCGACAGCGCCCTGCTCACAAACTTGTATGGCAGCGACGGCGCTCCGGGCGACGTGCTCAAGATAGTGGCCCACGGCCGCAAACCAGACAGCCCCGACTTTACGGCGGCCATCCAAAGCGTGCTGCGCAGCAAATACAACCAGCCCGTCAGCCTCGGCGGCGTTTTTGTCTTGCGCCGTGGCCGGGCGCTGCTCCACGTCATGTCCGATTTCAAGACGGAGCCGCGTCTGGCGGGCAACAAGGACAACTGGCTCAAGTTCTTTGACGTGGCCGCGCCGCTGACGTGCCTCTCGGTCGTCCACACGCTCGATCCCGGCCTGCGGCTGCACCTGGAGCACACGCACTGCTTTTCCGAGCGTGGCGAGGGCGGCCACTTTCACCACGACTCGACCCCGGCCGACGCCGAGTATGAGGCATACTTCAACACGGCCAAGGTGATCTACCGGATAGATGCACCGGGGGAGTAGTGGGTACTCGATAGATGATAATGAAGAGCCAGAACGACCATAAAAGGACTAGACGTAGTCATGCTGCAATGTAAGTAGCGAGAGCAACATGGGGCAAGGTGTGACATAAACGTGGCATATCAGAACCTTGGAGGTAGTTAGACGCCGCACGGATCATCACGGACAGGTCCGTCTCCTGGTGGACTTATAGTCTTCCACGCCCTACGTTATCAAGTATAAGTAGCCCTCGTCTGCATTCGCGTATCCATGGCCGTACGCGACAGACATGGACGGCTAGAGAGGCTTGTTCGTCTCTGGTTTGGGACTGTAGACTAGATTCTAAGCACACATCGTCTGCAGAAGGGGAATATCAACTATGAAGAAGTCAAAGAGGACAATAAGAACACAAAATCGCACATCCCATGAACTTTGAGTCCAATCAGACGCCACTACAAAGGGAGACGGAAGAAGACAGATACTAGACGAAAAAAAAAGAGGAGGACAACCAGATAAACCACCGCTGCACTACCATCTCGGTTCGCCTTGCTCAACTTTGGGCGTGCCGACGGCGTTCCGGTCGGCGAACGGGTCGTTGTCGTCATCGTCCACGTAGCTGTCGCCGTCCGAGTCGTCGCCGCCGCCGCCAGCAGACCGGTTGCGCGCAGCGTCGGCCGCCATCATGGCCGCCGTGGGCACAGCGGGCCGGCTGCCCAAGTGGCCCACGACCGGCTTGGACGTGGCTGAGGGCCGTGGGGGCGCCGGTGGGCGTGGGGCTTGCTGCGGCAGCGCCGGGGGGGAGGGGACGCCGCTGTTGCGCTTGCTGCTGCGGCCGCTGGTGGCGTCGCCCAGGTTGAGGCTGGCAAAGTCCGGGACAGCGGCGGAGGCCGAGGTCGGCGAGGCCGGCGTCGAGCCAGACTCCTTGTCCTTGGCCACCTGCTCCTGGATCATGCGGTAGCGGTGGGCCTGTTCGGCCAGGTCGTCGTCCGAGTCGCTGTCGGCATCGATGGAGCGGTCGAGCTGCTCAAACAGCATCAGGGCCGTCACCAGCTCGTCGTTGGCGTGCAGCAGGCTGCCCAGGTATTCCTCCGAGTTGACGAGGTAAATGTAGCGCAGAATCTTGCGGCGCAGCAGCTTGCACTTTTCAAAGCGCGCAATGGCGGCCTCGTTCTCGGAAATCCGCTCGAGCTCGCGGTTGATGGTCTGCAGCGTGTTGGTCAGGTCGGTCGAGGCGATGGACGCGTCGGCAATCGTGGCCTTCATGACCGGCTTCTCGGCCTCCAGGTTGAACGGCTTGCGCGACTTCTTGTTGCCGCTGGTGCCCGACCGCTTGTCCTTGGCCTTGGACGGCTTGCTGCTGCTGCCGTCGCGGCCAAGCGAGCTAAACGACTCGATGCGGCCCGTCAGCTGTGTCTGCGTCTGTGGGGCAAAGGGCCGGGAGGACGACGACGACGACGCCGCCGCCGCCGCCGCATTCGCTGCTGTGTCGGCCTCGTCTTCGTCGTCGTCAAAGGGGTTCTCCGTCTCGCGCACGACGCGCGACTGCGCCTGCGTCACGACCTGCTTGCGCTGCGGCAGCTCCTTGTAGAGACGCGCCAGACGCTCCATGCCGGGCGTGTTCTTGTACTCGGCGGCCCAGCCGCGGAACAGCACCGAGCACTTCTTGCGCACGTCCGGGTCGGACATGTCCGACGTGCCGCAGACGCGGAGGCGCTCCAGCAGCATCTCGTCGACAAAGGACCGCTGGAAGCGCGGTCCCGCGTTCTGGATCAGGCCGTCGAGCAGCGTCAGCGCGCGCAGCTGACGGTGCACGCTGCCGTACTTGAGCTTCTTGCGGATGGCACGCGCGGCCTCGGTCGGGCCCGACGCCTGCAGCTTGATGACCTCGACGAGGTCGGGGATGCCGCTGAGGTCATCTTCTTCGTACGCCTCGCCCGTGAGGTTCTCGATCGTGACCGTGACGGCCGAGTAGGGTTTTTTCTAGAGAGAAAGGCGAATTAGTATTGATATGGAGTCGCGATCTGATGCTCTCCGGTACCGGTGGGTTTTTTTTGTGGTTTTTGGGGTGTATGTGTTTTCCATCTTCCACGCACTTGAGAGAACATGTCTGCGGCAGGACCTAGCTATCCGTCGAGTCGTTGGTCGCAGAAACAGTAAGATGCATGAAGTCGACAAGATATACGAAGGCGTGCCTCCCTTCGAAAGAGAGGCTGTGAGCAGGTGGCCTTGGCAGCGTCGCCTTGGCGAGCGGGCGGCTCGTGACTGAAATAGGGAGGTCGGGGGTCAGAGGCCGTCGACGCCCAGAGTCGGCGATGCAGATGCGGTCGACCAGCTGGAGACAATGCTCCCAACTCAAAGCCAGAGTTTGCCGCTCGTTTCGTCGGTCGTTTGTATTTGGTAGTGTTTTGCGTGTCGTCCCGCAGTGATGTCACGGTAAGTGAGGGGTGGTGTGGGCTGCTCCGCGTCCTGCGTGGGAAGTGCCCTGCGAGAGCTGCGGCGGAGCTAGGTCGACGTGCAGCGAAGTGTTGAGGTTGGCAAACGTGCCAGTCCTTTTTGCAAAGTCGTATCGTGAGATAGCAAAATCGTCGAGTCAACTTGGATGCAGAGTATGGCGCAGAAGAGGCAGGCGCAAGCGAGTGCTTCGGCGAGGCAGAAGGAGCAGGTGAGCTACGGCCGCAAGCGGGCGGGCAAGGGCAAAGGCAGGGAGGGGCGCACCTGCCCCAAAGACAGCAAGGCTAGCGACACCCGCGGCATTAGCTAATACTATGGCAAGTACAAACCACAGCGCATTTCGTGCCTGCCGCACCCCGCCATTGCTGCACCACTGGGCTTACTCGTGACCATTACGCTTCTGTTTGTTGCGGACGCTAGCATGGCCTCGGGCGACCCCGTGGCGCAAATGATAGCGCTTATCACTCACTGTAACTGCCAGGCTGCCGTCAGCTGGCACTGTTGTTCACTGAACCGTGGTATCCTAGTGTCGACTTGCGACTTTCGACTTTCACGATGCTTCACTTTTGCTTCCATAATTTTCGCTGCTTTGGCGTCCACCGTTCTTTTCGTAACTGAAAAAGCCGAAGTCGTCTATTTCCTCGGTGGAATCCCCTCATTTCCCGTGTACTACCTTCCCCTGTGCACAGCATGCAATTTACTTGTAGTATTTGGTTCGCCTCTGTACGACGACGGCAATACTTCTTAGCGAGGCCAAGATATTGGCTAAGATACATGTACGGAGTAGGCATCTAGACTGTAAGGATAAGGTCTGTCATCGGTCATCTGTCCGTCTTGGCCTTGACCATTCACGATACCAAGAGAGCATGTCCACCCGAAGACGTTCGCCTAGGAATTGATAATGACGTCATCACGAGGCTGAGGATCACGAACCCTCGAATTGGTAGTTCCCCGTTTTCGTACGTTTTCAGGGAGTTGCAAGGACAACACGGGTACCTAAGCAGGAAGATGCGTCTGAAGCAAGGGGAGGGCTGTTCGCCGAAACTATCGATACATGGGAAGCGATTGCCGTGCTGACGCATTGTCACGTTTGTCGTCGTCTACCCTCATTCAGTAGTCTAGATTAAAAGAGGGAACCTGTAGAGAGAGAGAACGAAGTGGAAACCCATCAAATTACATGCCCAGGACCAGTAAGCGAGCCTCGTACCCGAGAAGAGGGAAGCCACAAAACATAACATGGGCTTCTCAAAGAAACAGGCCGGAAGGAGGTGCTTCGGCAAGGAGAAGTGGAAATGCTCGGCTCGATGGGTGACTATCCCGGCGGTGACGATTATGACAAACCATAGACAGACAAGACGCCCCGTCCGTACATACTCTAATACTCTAAAAACTGCCCATCTAGTCGCAACAGTCGGGACGAACGCCGGCCTCGCAGCGAGCGTGTATTTCCCGAGAAGGCGGATCCTGAAGACGACGAGAAGGGAAGACAGGGACGGGACAGCGGAAAGAGTAGGGACCCCGGTGGGGGTGATTGTGGATAGAGGAGGGGTGGGTGGCACAACAAAACACACGATGACTCTTCTCGTCGTGAGAGAGCGCGAGAACCAGAGACGAAACCCGTTTGACGTCTTTTACAGCCCCAATCCAGCACCTAGTCGCACTTGCCGCGCGCCCCATTGAGGGAAGGAGAGCGTGTGAGGAAAAAGTAAAAAGTCGGTGAACAGGACGGCAAACTGCAGATGCAGGCAGGTGCGCATCCGGGTTGACGTTATTTTAGCGCTGCATGTGCGTGTTTATGCGCTGGGGCTGAGGCGGAGGGGCAAGCACGACACTTCCGCACAAGTGGACACCGGCGGACAGTAGCGGGCACTCGCAGTTGCCGTTTCAACGTTACCTGCACGTAACGGCATGAATCTACTGGTGGAGAGGGGCGCAACGAAGCGGGCACGGGGAAACGCGGAGGGAAAGAAGAAGGCGACCTGGCGGTGACGAGGGAAGGTGCAGAGGGGCAAGGCGCAACGGCGGAACCCCCCACTGGCGGCAGGTGCGATGGCACAATTCAAAACGCAGCAGACGAGGCAGCCACGGTAGTCCCGATGCAGGAGATTTGCTACAATCGGGTGGTTGATTTGCTGTGATAATGTGTTGGTAAAAGAATCAGATAAAACGAAATAGAAAAATACTAGGCAAGCAAGATACAGATAAAATAAATAAAATACGGTATGTGCTTGAAATACGTTGCATTGATCGCCAGTGCAGATATGGCCTGCAGCCAGAATAGGAACCGTTTCGTTTCAACCCATTTTGTTTCTGATTTTCCAACATAACTTTTGTATTCTCCTTGTTTCTTTAAATCTTTATTATTGTCCTTCAAAGAAGGCATCGCGACACAATCGTCACCACGGAAGGTGACGGTCAGCACCGGCCATTTGTTTAACGACTCTGGATCAACAAACTCCCTTCTGCTCTCCCGACTTACTTTGTAAAGTTGACAGAATGAGTAAAACTGAGTCCACAATGGTAGGTCTCCCAGTCAGCTCCGTATTGCCATTCTGAAGCTTGCGCGGCCGGTGTCGAAAGCAGACAGCCGGTACCTCCTGGGATCTATCGAGGTTCAATGCCTCGCCGCAATGCTATTGGGGTATTGGCAAGTCGGGATGTACTCATGCAACGCGCATATGGGCTGATTCAGTGCAGATATACGACAGTTACACTGTATCAATTTGTAAACACAGCACGCTTTACGTCGTATCCGAACCCAACGATGATGGCGGTGAAGACGACGAGCCATTACATGAATGTGTCAGACCAAACACATCCGTTCCCGTCTGGCCACCGTCTCGCATCCCGTCCAAAAAGCAACCAGAATGCACTTATAGTCCGCGTTGGTTTATGGGCGGGTTGGTATTAGGATCTCAGGAGCGCCAAGCAGTGCGTCGGCTGCCTTTCCTTTGACGTTCATCCGATTCCTTGGTTTCGCTATCTGCATACTGCATAGACTGAGTGCGATCCCAAGAAACAGGTTGAGCTGTTCCGGCTTGTGTGGCCGTGTGCTCCGTTCTCCGTCCTTTTTCCCGAATGGACGCCAGCCTTTCCCCGCGTTGTAGTCAGATGCCCAGAAAGGGTGTCTGGGTCGACAGGCAATTTTCATCCAATCTTGTGGAGTTGACAACCACATCAAAACGCCAATTGATCGACACGCGTTCCTTTCGCGTTGTGAAACGGCAATTTGATGTCGCTTTTGTAGATAAATGAAAACAATGAAACCTGAGGTCTGAAAACGGCGATGCTTCGACGTCGTACGGCATTTCAGAATTTACTCTAAATAAATTGTGTTCGACTCTTGAATTTATCTGCCTCCGTATTTTCCATCACACCAACAGAGGCGGTTTCACGCACGCAAGGGGCAGTTCTGGCCCGTTGTTGTTTTTGTTCTGACACCTGCTCCCTTTCTTCATTGGGAGGCAATCACCGTCAAGACAGAATACGAATACACAGCAGGGAGGGCTGTGCCGTCTCTGGTTCCATCCCTGTATTGTGGCATACAAAGATTCTGGCCAGCATATCATGAATATCGACCAACAAAGACTGATGAAAGGCGGAACGACACAAAGGGAGGCGTCTGTGAGCTATGCGCCCTAAAGACCTCTCCCTCTCGCGAGTGGTCTTGAAGACGGTCAAAGAGGTTTTGTCGTGTCATGGGACCTTGCAGCAAAAACAAAGCGACGGAATGGAGGACGTGTGTTGCCCAGAGGCGAACTCTCTTTTCGGTAGATGCTTGCGATGTCTCGTCTACGTGCGCCAAACGGTTCGCTTGCCAAAACGGGACGGACAAAACGGACGAAACGGACAAAATGCGGAAAGCGGGAAAACGGGAAAACGGATGGCCATCCGCATGATCTCTTACGGAGCAATTACGGCGTACCGACCACCCCATATTTCCCCGCTGTAAGTCATGCAAAATGTAACTTAGCGATCAGCTCCACTGTAACCCACTGTAACCCACTGTAACAGCTTGATTGTGCTGGGATCGAGCTGGGGTGAGCCAGCGCACTGGCGCTGCCCAGCGTCACTTTGGCCACTATGCCATGGACTTCACATGCTTTTCGTCTCCCTGTCACAGCCGACACCATCCCTCCCTTTCGATGATGGACAGTGGTCTCGATCAGTTTGTTCCTTGTCGAGCCTTTTGGTGCAATTTCATTACGTCGTTGACCTCCGTTTTGGGAAAGTCGTTCCTTTCCCATGGAACCTTTGTTTGGCTGCAAAGGCCGACTTTGGCCAGCGGCCTTTTGGGGCCTTCCCGTTGCCATTGTCCCGTGCTCCTTACTGACATCTGCAGGTTCTTTTGCAAACGACTCTGCTCATATAGAAGCAAGTCCTTTTGTACGGCGCCACAGGCGCGCCAGAACCAGAAGGGAGACAGCACCGAGAGCGACAGTACGGTAGTGGATGCATCGACAGCTGCCGGACCTTGTGAGCCTGAACGTGTATCACATGCAAGAGATATCTGGTAGGTACTAAGATTGGCGTCATGAATAACAAACAGATCAAGAGACAAACGGATCATGAACGTTAAAATGTTTATTAGGTTGTATTGCTTGTTCTTTTTTATTCTTTTGTCTGGCTGTCCTTTTTTTCTATCATATCAAAA